ATAATAATAAATAAATAATATAGTAATATATATATATATATATATATATATATATATATATATATGATAATGTGTTTATGTTAGTTATCAAGTGGAAACAAGATACTTGACACGTATAAATGAATGATTATATTCGTTATATGATTAATTCGTTATACGAACATTTTGAACGTTACAAAACACTACTTTATTGTGCAACATATGAAATATTGATATCTTAAATTATGATTGTGTTATTGTATTATTTTTTCGGAACTCATTGATATCTAACTGTCAACTGTCAATTCTAAAACGCGTTGAGATGTTTCCTTTTTTTATTGTTTTTAATATCGTAAGTGAAAAAAATATTAATAGTTATTGACGTTTATTTTATGTACAAAACATATATGTGAGAATTGATAAAATATTTATGACAAATTTTAAAATTAGTATTTTAATATAATTATTTATTTTTTATTTATTATTTTTAAATATATAATTATATTAATAATAATATTGAATATTATTTAATACATATTTCATGTATATATTTAGAAATAAAAATGTTTGCATAATATATATCTATGTATAATAAATTAATTTTTTAATTAAATATAATTTTTAAAAATAATAATACATTGTATATAATAAAAATTCTATATTTTATTTTAGACAATTAGAAAAATGCTATGGCGTCCTCAGGATCACATAATGGGGATGCAGAAACTGAAAGTGATAAGTTTGAAGGATCTAAAATTGATCGACATGGTTTTCTTCAAGATTCCAATTGTAGCTCTGACAGGTAATATACAAAAAAAAAAAAAATATAATATATATATTATAATATATTATATATATAATATATATATATTAATATAATATATGAGATATTTGAAAATATTCATATGATTTATATCAAAATATATATGTTTAATGTTTACAATATTAGCCTCAGTAAACAAGGTTTACCACCAGAGATAATGCTAAGAAGAGAACGAAAATGGATACAAATGTTAAATAATTGGAGCTATTTTATGAATACAAACTATCGTAAAGTCAGAGAAAGATGCAGAAAGGGTATTCCACCTTCAGTAAGACTTCGTGCATGGCTAAATCTTTGTGGAGGTCAATTGTTAATGGATACAAATCCAAATTTATTTGAAGAATTGGTGGAACGATCTGGTGATCCAAAATATATAGATGATATTAAGAAGGATCTTCATCGCCAATTTCCACATCATATAATGTTTATTGGAGAAGCTCCTGGACAAGAAGAATTGTTTAAAGTATTGAAAGCTTATTCTATTTTAAATAGTAAAGTTGGTTATTGTCAAGCCCAAGCACCTATTGCAGCATTTTTATTAATGCATATGCCAGCAGTACAAGCATTTTGGTGCCTTGTTGCAATATGTGACAAGTATTTGATTGGGTATTATAGCCAAGGAATGGAAACATTGTTACGAGATGGAGATATTTTATTTGCTCTTCTGAAAAGAGTATCTCCTATTGCTTACAAACATCTGGTTAGTAAATTGTTTAATACATAATTAAAAATTAAAATATATCTATTTTTAATAATCATTTTAGAAAAAACAAAAGATGGAACCAATTTTATATATGACTGAATGGTTCTTATGTGTTTATACACGAACACTGCCCTGGGAAAGTATTTTACGAGTATGGGATATGTTCCTTTGTGAAGGTGTTAAAATTATCTTTAAAGTTGGGCTCGTTTTATTAAAAGGCAGCTTAGGTCGTACATCTCTTATTAAACATTGTCCAACAGTTTATGAAACTCTTCAAGTATTAAGAAATCCTCCTCAGCATATTATGGAAGAAGAAACTTTAGTTCATCAGGTAGAATATTTCATTTTTTTGTATATATACATATATAATAATCTAATATATAATATCTAATAATATATAATAATAATATATAATATATATTAGATTATTATAATATATATATATATATATATATATATATACAACAAAAAAAATGAATATATAATACTAATATATATTATTATTAGATAAATTATTAGATAAATTCAATATTGTAGATTCGAAAATTAAATCTAACTGAAGAAGATTTTGAATACGAACATCAACGTCAAGTAATATTAAAGCGGAAAGCAACAGAACAAACATCTCTTTCTACTGTCAATCGAACAGATTGATAAAAAAAAAAAAAAAAAAAAGAAAGAGGAAATAGACAACACGTAAAATGAACAATGAGCTTACAGGTATTATTCCAAAATGTGCCTTCCTTTTTATGTATATTTCATATTGTACAGATCATAAAATATATTCAAATATACTTTTATAATACATAGATATACATATAGGAAAGTTTGAAAAGTATCTTTGAAAACATTTTTTTTATAAATTTAAATAATTTTCGAATGTAATTACATACACATACATTCCTTAAATAGATCACGCAAAATAACTTATTTCTATTTTCTCTATTGTAATTAGAATTACAAAGATGCACAATATTTATAGATTTTTATAATATTGTAGATGTTTAATGTTGTATTATTTCGAGTATATCTCTAGTTATATAACTACTACACATAATTTTATTAATATTTATGTACAAAAATAAATAATTGTAAAACATTTTTTAAGAACAAAATTAGAAATATTATATAATGTTATTAATTAAGAATTGTTTTGTTTAGCTCAATGTTGTTTTTGTTAAATTTATCTAACTGATAACAAATGATATAATTAAATAGATGTTATGAATATATTTTGACATTGTTTAATTTTATTTTATTTTATATATTATAATTTAATAGCTAATATAATTTAAAATATAAAATATAATCTAAAATAATATAGCATTTTTTTTACAAATTAAGTTTACATTTTTCTCTTATATATAATAAATTTTATTATAAATTTTATTTAGTTATATATATATTATATATATATATATATATATATATATTATTTATCTTATTATTGTATTATTTTTATTATGAACTATTTAATAGAATTTATATAATGACTTATAAATTTATCTAAAAAATTGTTACATTCGGTAGCATTTGTAATCGTGACTATATTTGTCAGATAAAAGAAATCATCTTGAATATTTCGCGCGGGAAGTACATCAAGTTGAATAAATTTCGGTAAAAACAGAACGGTTATTATAAATACAACTGCCATAGTGATAAAAGTGCTTATGGCTACAATGAGAGGATTTGATAATTGCGTTTGGATTTGTGCAACTTTCGTATTGTCAAATGCAGAAGTAGTAGACTACAAAGAATGGTAGAAATGTCATAATGAAGAGATTAAAATAATAATATAGTATTTTTTATTTTTTATTATTTTTTTTAATAAAATGAATTAATTATTTGCAAATAAAATAAGAAAATATTAAGAAATTATAAAAGTTTACTTACAATTGTTTTATAACTGTGATTTTTTTTTAACTCTGACATGAAAGTTTTTAATGGAAAAAAATAATATTCATAGAGAGGCTGCTTGATTGGAAATTCCACATGAGTTTGACTAATTTGAGGTATTTCACCAGAAGAGAGTGCATTAGTTAATGAAGATAAATTGATTGTTGATCCTTTTTCTAATGCGTTTTTATACATAGATGCCAATTCTGTCTTTGTAAATCCAAGTATTTCTGGTTCTTGTACTTTAGTAGGAATATGAGACTGAAAAATCAGAGATAGATAATTTTTTAATGATTTTATTAAATAATATAAATATATATGATTAATAAAATATAATTAAAAAAATTATTACCTCATAATAATGCGGAACATTTAAATCAATCTTTTTATTAAAAAAAATATCATATTGTTGAAAACTATGATTTTGATGTTTTTGTGTATTTCGCCGTATATTCATATTAATTTTTTGAATTTTATGATTTTGTTGGTCTTCATTCATATAAATTACATTTTTATAATCATTATTTGATGATAATCGATCGTAATTATTTATAGAAGAAGGAACATTAAATTCTTGAAGTTGAAGCATCACATTTTGAAGATATTCTCCACTCGATTTATCATTTGTTTTTATATTTTTAATAAAATTGAAAAATATTAAAATAAGATAAATCAACTTCATTACTTTCTTCGTATTTATTTGATATATCATTTTATACATTTTTATTCTATGTAAATATATCTGTCAATTAATGATAAGTGCATTTTCCTTCTAATAATTTTGCTATATCTTTATTACGAAATATTTTCAATTCTCAATAAAATATAAAAGACCAAAATAATTTTAGTTTTATAATTTATAAAATTATATATATAATATATTAATTTTAATAATGCGTATTAATTTTCTATTCAACAAAAACGTTTTATTTTATTATTATAGTAATTAATCACCAGCTCTAATTCGTTATTTTTTGTTCATTAAATTTTCGGTTATATACGATTATTTTTTATATTTTTTTTCTTTATATTTAAAGAAAATATCATATATGAATATATATAACGAATACTCGCGGCCGTATGTTCGCAATTGTACTAACAGGGATAGACTGCATGAATATCCTCGATCAATTTATTCCCCACCAAGTATTCATGGAATTCTTGGTTATACAAGAATCCTATATAAAATTAAATGAACGCAAATGTAAATGTTAAAATTAATATTTTCTTTTGATATATTTCTAATTATTAAATTATCATAATGAATTCTACAATTTCTAGAATTTAAAAAAAAGATTTATATTTCTGCAATTATATTTTTGAAATATTAATTAATATATAATTTGTATAATCTTAAAAAAAAAAGATTATTTGAGAATCTTTTCTAAGACTTTCTTTTTTTTTTTTTTTTTGTAATAATTCATTATTCAATCTCGAATACATAATAACTTTAGAGATTTCAACGCATGGTTAATATTATAATCTTAATCTTAATTCATTTTGTATTTCGATCAATTTGATCGTGTTTGTATAAGACGAACGATTATTATATGATTCATAAAAAAAATGGGAACAGTTAATGAAATAACCAGTTTAATGTTAAAAATATGCTACAAGATTAAATGCGATGGTGATTTAGAAATTTTTATTTTTTCATATAAATTATAAAATAACATCAAACTAAATAAAATTAAAATAAAAATATAACTAAGATTTGGAATAATTATTTTTTCTTCTATTAATCTGGTTATTTTATTCTATTATTTACTAAAAAAAAAAATTTACATAAAAATTTAAATACCAAACATTAAACTATTTTCGATTTCAATTGTACTAATAATGTATCAAATATTAATATTTTAATTAAAAAAATTTTATTTTTTCTATTTGATTCATTTTTTAAAAACATGAAAAATATATTAAAAAAGATTAATCGTTATATCAATATATAATACGAATGGTATATATATTGAATGACATACAATATATAACGAAGGAATTGCAGTTCACTGAATCTAGATCTGCGAGGAGCCGTTAGATGACAACATGTAATTTTCTTTAATTATATTCGTTACGTAATTATTTACTGTTATTTCTTAATGAGTATATTTAACTGTTATATCTATAATTATAAATATATATATTTACATATATTATATATATAATAAAAAATATTTATTATTTCAATATTTTGTTTTACAGAATTAAAAAATTTTTATAATAAATGGAAAATAATTGAATATTACGTGTACGTGATAGTAATATACTTAATTAATCATTAGGATTCTATTTTTGTTTTTTAAATTTGTGAGTCATCAAATATAGATTTTGATTTTCAGATTTTCATCAGATGAATATTAAAAAATTACAATCTATATTATCATATTATAACCTACGGTTATGTTGATAAAAGAAAGGGGCAAGAGGGAAAATAAAATTGTTCATGGCTCATTATTGTGTCGTGTATTTCCTTTCACATCAAGTGCACCGTTATCGATATCGCTTTACAATTTCTTTTTTATTTTCATACAAAAAAATGATTCGATGATCAGTGCCGCTACAATATTTTTATCGTTTATCAATCATCTTTGCACGAGATCAGACGAATCAATTGTCATTACACGTATTTCATAGATATAATATATAATATATATATATATATCTTTATCTTTAGCATAACCTTCTTCTTTTAAAGTGAATATCATACAAAATCTAAAGCTATACGAAATTTAACTTTTATTCTTCATTATATACGAACATAATATAGTAATACAATACATGGTTGTATTTTAATTTTATCTCTTTTATATTGTTTAATTTATGAAAAGAAAAGAAAAAAAGATTTTAGTATTTTGTCATGGATCAACGAGTTAAATCGGAGACGGCGGTAATAGGCCCTTATTTTAGAGCATTTACATTTTTTTTTTTTTTATGAAACCATTCTTTTCATGTCAATTCTACGTCGCGTTCGATCAGACGATAATCGCTAAATCGATTTGAATTTGGTCGTGTATCGTTCTTCTACATATGCGCGCGCAGATTACAGTTATATGCACTAGTTCCGATTGTTCAGTATTGTTCGATATCGGACGCGAAAATTTAAAGAGTTATTCGAGTATTGTAACCATATGATATAAAGCTCAATCGCAATTAAATTAAAAGAATATACCTTAAAAAATATGTTATATACAGAACAAAAGAATACCATTACAAAAGGTTAGTGCTTAAGTTGATTAAAAGCAACGTCTAATAAAAATTTATTTCTTTTTCTTTCATAATTTTGGTGTAAAATTTTATCAGTAAAAAAATTATTCCTTCAAAATATTTAGTTGTGTTGCATATTAATTTTGCTACAAGAAAGTCTTTAATATTGAAATAAAAAAATAACGCACATATTAACATAAAATTCTTTCATATATTTTGTTAAACTAAGAAACTTGTAAACGATTAAAAATTAAGATTAGATTGAAAATGTCTAAAGAACATAGCAGGAATAAATTCAAATCACGGATAGATTAACAATAATTGGTATTCGTTTTAGAAATTTTTTTGTACGATTAATACAAAGAAAGATTATGACAATTTCGCTAAAAATAGGCCGAGATATATTTCCTTTTTTCAAATTTAATAGATGCAAAAAAAAAAAGAACGTGCTTACTTATCGAATGTACATTACCAACGTATTAAGAATTAACAACCAATCATTTAAGTATATATATATCAGAGATGGACCGAAATCTGACTTTTAAAAAATTTAATTTTTCTTTCATTTTCAAGAATTTAAAATTTTTTCAATTTCGAGATTTCGAATATTCCATCCCTTACATAAATGTATATTATACCGTATACGAGAAATAAAACAATGACAATTCATAGCATGTCTTTACGTATACAATTCGAGCGAAAATTACATAAAAAAAAAACGTATATTTGTATATGACAGCGCGATATTTTTAAACGAATATCATACGTATACTTAATCCATAAGTATCAGAATCATTTATTTGATAGTATAGTTGAATAAAAATTTCGATACAAGCTACACGCTGAAGAAAAACATTTT